AATTAACAAACGAGCAGATACATAACAATACTTTTTCAGATCAATTTACAAAAGAATGCTTTTTTTAGAAGACTTTTATAACACACAAAAAGACAGGTTAATTTCTCCAAATAAATTTACTGTTGACAGAATGAGCTGATGTATTTAATAAGAAACAGAACCAAAGTTCTTAATGGTTTTTAGTTGTTTCATTAAGAAAGTGAGGTTAAATGTTACAAAACTGATTAATACCAATGATGGATCAAGTGACTAGCTTCGTTTTTCACCTCTTGGGTTTATTAATTGTGTTCCTGTTTTTAGTCTTGGTTCTTAGGTGGGTCAACAGTAAGTTTACGGGTGTCAAAATCCAGGCTCGAGTCTGCAATGTATAACTATTTGATTTATTATCACTAGATGACAACACACCTCTTATTCAAAAGTTTTGTAAGGTCAAACAACATATAAACGGAACAATTTAAATATAATTATTTGGAATTCTTTGATAGAAGAATAAAATTCATAATCAGTAAACAAAAATAATAAAGAAAAAAAAACTTAGAATTCGTTCATGATTCATTTCTTTATTCATTACAGTTTTAAAATTAGGCTATTAATATTATCGCTACTTGAATGAGGTATGATTGTTGTCGTCACTTGTACTACAGTTTAGTTTTAGAATAGTGTACAGGAATGGTGCATTTACTTTGGTAATGGTACTGTAAAAAAGTTCAACTTATCTCGGAGCTCAGTAGAATTAATGTTAACTATTCTGACATAATAAAAGCAATTTCATTCACTGCTCATTTTTCCTCTTATCGCTATCTAAATATTGTTTTCTGATATGAAACAGTAGAGGACAGAGACTTGTGGTGTATAAAATACCCAGATATCGATAATAATATATTTAAACGCCCCCTTTTTTTATTTGGTTTCTATTTTTCTGTAATTGTAATAAGATGTAAAATCCTTGCCCGAAACATTCGCAGAAGAGAATTTGAAATAAAGTAATGTTTTAAACAGATTATATGTAGTTATTGAAGTTTAATTATAGTTTGTTACGGTTGACCATATCAACTTCAATCGTTCAGTGCATTTCTCAACGCTAATGCTTGTCTCCGGTGGCTCAGCGGTAAGTCTGAGGACTTGTAACGCTATAAATCTAGTTTTGATACCCATTGCTTATTGTGCAACTTTGTATTTAACAACAAACAAGCAAGTCATATGTGCTGCTTTTAAAACACTTTGAAAAAATAAATGATATTATCTGCTTAACTCAGATGTAAACGAACTCTTGTTATTCTAAACTTTAAACAGTGTTCTTGTATCTTTTTGAATTACTTTATTTGATAACTAGTAATAAATGCTCTACAGTCACTCAAACTTTAGTTTAAACTCATTCACCCTTCATTAACAGTGTCGTAGGTGGACAACTGCTAATTTCACTCTTCCAAAGCAAGCACATAATACATCTTTATTCGGGTATATTCATAATTTTTCTAAATTTCCACGTAGCTTCCCTATGTAGCTAATCACATCTTTGTTAGCTGTATAGTGTCGCGTGATCGTAAACATGTTATAGTTCTTAAATGCTGATAAATATTACATGTTGTAGCCTTTGTTCTTTTAAGTCTGAAACTACCATTTACACGTTTCTAGAATAGAGCCTATTCAAACAGGTAATACACAAACCTGTAAAACTGGCTTAAGATGACATATAATTACATGTTAACCATTGGCTGAAGTGTGAAATCTATGGACTTGTAAAATACCTTACCAAGGCTAGACCCAAGTACGAAGGTGATATTTTTTCTTGTTTTTTCTTGATTTTGGATCTTAACTTTTGATTACATCTCTTGTTTTTCTTGCTTTTCGCTTGTCAGTTTTTGTGTTCATGCCCTCGAATCTAGAAGCCACTTAAGAGGTATACAGAAATACTTCAAACCTGTTTGAAAAACATAAGGTTGCGTTATGAATAAATAACTTTATGTTCTTAAGTTCACTTGTTTTCGTTTTCTGTCTGCATTCCATATATCTTCTTAACAATCCTGAGCCTACATTTTTCTGTTAGACATCAGTTTATCTTAATCACACAAACTCAATAAAAGGGTCAAGCAATTGTTCGTGGAGAAAAAAGTTAATAATATTTGCTAAAGTCACAATACCAAATGGAAGTCGAAATGCGGTATGTGAACATAACAGGCATTTCTTTCTGTTTTAGTTTAGACAAGTGAATATTTTCATGTTCACCATGTATGTAATATGCAAATATACGGTTGCGTATCTGGTCGTTTGTTAATTTCCGGTATAAATTCTTTCCGAAGAACTTCAGCGATACAAGTCCTTTCTTAAATAAAACTAGTTTATTCTTTCTCAGTACAACTTAGCAATACACAGAATTTCCACAGTCAGTTTAACTTAACTACTTTTATAAAAACACGCTATAATTCACAGGGATTCATACATATTACTTACTGCTTGATTCGATTATCTCCATCTTCATTCTCTCTATCTATGCAATTATATCTCCGCTTTATTTGCCGGGCTTATATACTAAAAAAGAGGGCGCCTGGAAAAGATTAGAGTTGCCAAGAAAAGTCATGATCCTTCTAGAAACTCAGTGCGCATGCTCCCAACGTCGAGTGACTTCCGCTGTCGTAACACTGCCCCTTCCTTTAGTATTGTTCGTCTCGAACAA